TCGATCGACCGACCGACCGACCGACCGACCGAATGATCTCTATTTGTTTTCCCCTTCATATTTATTTTGCATGTCTGTACGCGTTTACCGAGAAAATTTTGTCCGAAGTGAATAATCCGCAATTGATTTCCGCTTTGTGCGATTAATAATGTAAAAACGAACGAACATAAGGCCGAGCGCGAACGCCGGATAATAAAATGTCGAACGAGTTACGATTTACAAATGATTAGCATACGAATAATATAGGAAAATTGATAGAGCTTTAATAACGGTAACGAGAACGAGCGAGCCATTCTAAAATGTCGCGAAACGATAAGAGTAATATCGACGATAAATGGACCGCGAGACGGAGCAATGATTTCGGCGCGTTTTTTAATATCGCTATTAGTTGCGAAGGATTTGACAGTATCCCAAATAGACAAATATTCGAAGGTATCGTCCTCCCTTATTAGTTTTTAATCGAAACTATTAGGTACGAACTTTTGCGTTTGCGAGTTAAAGTTCGAGAAAAGAAATAACCGGCTTGAGAAGGGTAAGAATGAAAATAGCAAGGGTAGTGAATGGAGAGAGAATCGAAGGCCGCAGCTTCCATTCTGGATGTGGCCTTCGAGAACCCCAACCTCCATGAAAATCAATGTTAGCCACTGTGGTCTCGCGCTACTAGCCGTTCCGATAACGTCTTCCTTTCTCGCTCGTTCTCGCTCGTTCCCACTCTCCTCCGATCGGTCTTCTGAGTCTTTCTCTCTCGCTCTCCCTCACCCCCTCGTTCTCTGACACTCTTAGGTAGGATCTTCCTAAAAATACATCTAACTCGTGTACGCCTCTAAATGTATATGCGCCTGGCAACCTTTAGCGTCGCGTCGTTCTCGTTGGTATGTAAGAACGACGTTCGAAAATCTATTATTAGCTTGAATGCGGCCACGATAAAGGCAGCTTACAATTTGCAAAATGTCATAAGTGAGAAGTAACCAAGTAAGTACTACCTACGAAGAGCGTAGAACGAAAAAAAAAACGAACCGTACCGTGAGAACCGGCATGGCGTACAAACAAACCACCTGCTTGACTCCTCTGCCAAGCCGAGCCAAGCCGAGTAAAACCGAAGTATGTGGATGCCGAACACACCACTTTGTCCTTCCTATGAAAAATATTGTGCCTTCATATTTTTTCCACCTACGGTAACGATATTTGACGGCGACGTCCTACAAACGATGCATATAATGCGCTTAACGACCCCTTAAGCTGTTCGCTTTTTGCCTCTACGATAACGCGGCTAGATACATTTTTTTTCTCTAACCATTTTGTCGGAGACCACGCACCTACCTTCTTTATGCTTGTAAAATTATGCCACGGAACGTTCTTGTTTTTATTTCTTTTCTCTTGACTATATACATGTATATATTTTTTTTTCTCGCCTGAAATTGCGCCATCGAAAATTGACGTCAGAATTCATTTTCCATAACGAGAAAACCCTCCCGCTTAAACTCTACATCCCTGCCATCCCTTTCGATCTATTTTGCTTTGTCTCTACTAATTGAAATGATATATATCGTACATAAATATGATAGATATTTGATAATAGATTGGTATAATTTAATATTGGTTCTCTTCATTCCGAGCGAGAACGATAACTCGCAATTAGAGCGGCCCGTTCAGTGGATTAAAATAAATATTCCATTTAATGAGCGAAACTCGACGTTACGTACTTCATAGATCGCAATGAAATTTGTGATGCACGTATCAACATATGCATTCCTCAAAATTGGTTCATCTAGTACAGCAATAGTTCATTCTTTTTATTTTTCAACGTCTCGTTCTATAACGCTTAATGCTACGGCTTTCGGCTTATGTCGGCTCGTCGATCATAAAACTTGTCATCTTTCCTTTCCTTTCCTTTCCTTTCCTTTCCTTTCCATCCAGGATATCGAGGAAAGAAAAAAAAGAAAAAAGAAAAAAAAGCTAATATTTTTCACATCTATATCGACATAGATAATCGATATCGTTCGTACGATTCTTTAGAAATCCAAAGTTGAACGATGTATGAGAAAAGGGCAAACGCCCTTTTTCTCCCTCATTTCCGAATCACTATTTAAATTTGAAGGATATAAGCTGGGATATAAGGGAAAAGGTACGTTTGCTCGTACGACCAATTTCACGTCTCTTCTTCGAAACCATCGACATTTACCAACGAATATTCTATACTTTTATACAGTAAACGTTTACGATCTAAAATATGACCTATTTAGTCAACTTGTCAAACGATATTTAATACGTTTTATATGTTTCCTCAAATAAAAATACATAAAATTACTACTGTTCTTGCGTTAATATATTATTAACTACGTATATAATTACGTTACAAAAGATATTTTTTCCAATTGACTGATAAGATCGTTATATTTAAAATCATTAGGTGCGTTATTAAATGTTTCCATTAATTTCAACCTTTCTGAACTTTTTCCTGTATAATATAACTGAAGTTCATTAGCTAAACATTGGGCTTCCTGACAATTTAAAAAATTTAAATCAAATTCACCGCGCATCAGTACTATGCCCTTGCTATCTTTAAATTCTGTATAATGAGTTAGGGTTAAACATTCAGGTGCGTTCTCCATGTGTGTTTGATACCATAAAAGAGACGTCATATAAACTTTATTCCCTTGGAATTGACTTAAAAAAAATTCATAGCCCTGTTTTCTTGGTAACGGTAATAGAAACAAAGGATATTTCTTTCCGTAATCGAATATCCTTTCGTACTGCTCAGGTTCCATTGTCGCGCAAATGTAATCTTTTTGTTTATGATATTCAGTCCAAATTTGTTCAATTTCTTCTTTCGCCTTTTCCTTTATCATCTCCATATTCATTATATCGCTTAAACGTACTTCTTTGGTATGCGATGTCTCTATTACTTCGCTTTTTGCTTTAGCTCGATAGATACTACGTTCTTCTTCTCGTTTTTCTATAATACAAAAAAAAAATACAATGAATCTAATTGTTATATAAATAAATCCTAAATAATATTTAATCTAATACGTTTGGATCAAAATGTCACGATAAAAGAAAAAAAAGAAAAAAAAATATCTATCGATCGTATCCTTCGGAACAGATAGAAATGAAAATGACAATAGCAAACTACGCAATAGTAAACGCATACCTTTTCTCTTTTGCACTTTTTTCTCTTCTTCTTCGATGCGTTCTTTCAATAAATCTGGATTTATTTGTTGAAGTTCTGCGATTTTCTTTGCATACTTGTCAAAATATGGATTATTTTTTAAATTTTCTAAAACCTGATCAGTCTTCGTTCGAGACATTATTATTCTAAACGATACAGACACTTTATTTCCTGTGATATATTGAGAACAACGAGATATTGACGAAAACCATAACCTCATTATCAACAAATATTAACCTCTCTCTTTCCACAATCCTATTTCAGAATTCACACATCGTTTATACAAGCATTGCCACCTAATTCCTAGCGTCGCTACTAAACCATTAAAAATGTTCACTTCTCAGTACTCCTGGCGCCATACAGTGTGTCGACCAGGAAGATAAAGATATTGTTCGCGCGCTTTATTTGACTAATTCCGCTGGCATATGTGATTGATTTATAATAAAAACTTAAAAAAAATTACTTACTTTTTACGAAGTTCTGCAATGGTCATCGTCACAAGACTTTAACTACAATAATTACGACGAACAACACTGACTCTATACTTCGCGATTGATTCTAGTTTATTTATTAACAATCACCTCGTACAAAAAAACGTACTACTCTATTAACCGCATTGTGCACGCGAACACCAAGAACAAATGCACTACTATTTAGATATTAATTAATCGTATTACAGTGGTTAATATATACTACACATTTTTTAAAAATAAATGGGAAATTATCAAAAGTATTCATTGTTTAAATACATCTATACCTATACATGATAAAATTACGATGTTTACTCGTCGGAATATAAGCGAAGACTGATGACTTTTTTTTTCACAAATATTTCTTAAACACAACAATACCACGACCTGTTACCAACACATGATAGAAAACGCGCTTCAAGAAATCGATGAACATACTGTAAGAATGTGTACGTTAGAAAAAAATATGTTGATTATAAGTAATTAGAAGAACGATACAAATTCCTCTGATATCCGGAAAATAAATATGGCGTCGTATACGACGTCAGAACGGTTGAATAATTCCCGCCGAGCATGCGCACAGCGCCACTTTTGGTACATCGCTAGTCAATAAATATATTTCTTTCTTTTTCTATTTTCAGAAAGTGCCATGTAATATTAAATTTAAAAGCACATAAGAATCATGAAAAATTTTAATAATAATTATGATGAATACAGCTAACTACTAATTAATTAGTGAACAAACCGTTGTGTATACAAAGGCTCTCGTCATACAGACGTAGTTTCTCTCCACTTTCTACGTGCCAACAAATATGTGCATACATACATACATACATGCATATATATATATATATATATATATATATATATATATATATAATCAATAAAACGAATAGTTATTATTATTTGTTTAGATGGCTTGTAAATATTAGAAAGAAAAAAAATATCAATTCAAATGAAATATTATAGTTCGGAAGTAGTTGAAAATCAGTTGGGAATATTCTTTAGGAGAAGAAGCTGAAGCAACATTTATCTATATATAACAATTATCTATATAAGCGGGAAAGCTTGAAATATGTTGAAAAAAAAAAGAATTCTTTGATCTGGGTATTCGTACACTCCTGACCTACATTAATTCTGAGCACAAACATTGATCTATATAATTTCTTGAAAAATGTCCATTTTTGTAATGCTACCAAAAAACTGTCTTGCTTGCTTTTATACAGACGTTACATACATCCGGTCATATGAATGCCTGGAATCAGGCTTGATGACAAGCATTCACAACAAACTTTTATATGTATTTGATCTATAATTTTCTCCCATACATATATTTATATATACTCATACGTGTAAATTCTTAGAAAAGTCTAGAACTTGATATAAAGTTCAAATGAATCACGTCAAAATATTAGAAAATTTATGCATAATATATTTTTAAACATTTTGGATCACAAACGTATAATTTATATACTCCTTCAAACTTCTAATTATTATTTAAATACTTGGAAATTGTGGCTATACGTAATAATATTATACATGCTTACGAAATGAATAGTATAGGGAGAAGAAGAGAGAGGAAGAAAGGGGGAGATTAAACGTAGGTAGAATGTAGTGATGTAAACGTTATCAGTTAAACAGAATTAATTTAATCATATAACTTCTCATATTCAAGGTCTTTAATTTTCTTCATTGTAGAAAAGATAAGCTACGTAGTATCGAGTTGAGAAAGATTTATATTGTATACCACAGATAACAATGTAAAGATAAGTCGATGAATAATTATGCATATGTTACTTACCATACAAAAATCATTCTCTTTTTTTTTTTTAGTAAATTAACCAGTGTATGTAGTATAGTCTGAGTGATAGTATAGGTTATGTTTACATCTTGAGTTTATTATATATTACACAGATGTTTCGAAAAGTTCACGTAGGTAGAAACTTTTTAAATGCTTTAAATGCATCAAGTAAAGCCTCTACCAATCCTTCAAACAGGGTAAGCTTAAAAACATTTTATGCACGTTTATTGTTTACAATTGTAATAATAAATAGAATACACTTTTGAACACTTTGAAAATTATAAATGTCTCAATTTTATTTCAGATAAAAGAATTTCGAGAAAAATTAAACACCTTCAACGATGACATATTAACAGACTCATTTGGAAGACGTCATACATATCTTAGGATTTCAATTACAGAACGTTGTAATCTTCGTTGTATGTAATTTTATGAATTTTATCTATATTTAGAACAATATAATATCTTGCATCATATTTATAAGATTTTTTTCAAACGTAGGTACTTATTGCATGCCAGCAGAAGGTGTAAAATTAACTGCGAAAGATGGAATCTTAAAGACAGAAGAAATAATCAGGCTAGCAGATCTGTTTACTAAGGAAGGCATATGTAAAATACGATTGACTGGTGGTGAGCCTACAGTTCGCAAAGATATTGTTGATATTATTGGTAACTATAATAAATTAGGATATAGAATACATACATATATACATATATATATACAATGTATAATACTTATATTCATTAAATATATTTAGTTGAATTAAAGAAGTTGGAAAATTTAAAACAAGTTGCAATTACAACAAATGGTTTAACATTAACTCGTCAATTGCCAGCTCTTCAAAGAGCAGGTCTAGATGGTTTGAACATTTCACTTGATACTCTTAAAGCAGACCGTTTTGAGCGTTTTACGCGCAGAAAAGGATGGGCAAAAGTTATGGCTTCAATAGATTTGGCTGTTCAACTAGGTTATAATCCAGTAAAAGTAAGTTATGTTTTTTTTTTTTTTTTTTTTTTTTTTTTCAAACAATTATAATGCATAATTAAAAGAACGTCTTGTTTTCGACAGGTGAATTGTGTAGTAATGAAAGGCTTTAATGACGATGAACTTGTTCATTTTGTTAATATGACCAAAGATCGCCCATTGGATATACGTTTTATAGAATACATGCCATTTTATGGGAACGAATGGAAAGAAAATAAAATGGTTTCATTTAATGAAATGAAAAATATTATTAGGCAAACTTATCCTGAATTTCAAGCACTTTCAAATAAGCCAAATGATACATCAAAGGTTTTTTATTTTGCTTTATCTAAGCAACAGTTAAAATATCATAATTAATAATTCATTTCCTTTATTTTATTAGGCATATCAAGTCCCCGGTTTTACAGGACAAATTGGCTTCATTACATCAATGACTCATAACTTTTGTAGCTCTTGTAATCGATTAAGAATTACAGCAGATGGAAATTTAAAAGTTTGTTTATTTGAAGGAAAAAGTGAAGTTTCGTTACGCGACGTTCTTCGAAGTGGAGGATCCGAGGAGGACTTAAAGAATATAATTCGTAACGCAATATGGGGAAAGAAGAAGCAGCATGCAGGTAATGTTTGCATGCATTTAAATAGAAAATGAATTATTTTGTAAAAAGCGATAGCGTTTATACCGTATATGTTTCAGGAATGTTCAATTTATCCCAAATGGAAAACAGACCAATGATTTTAATCGGTGGTTAAATGTAGATTATTCGAATCGAGGATTTATATATATATATATATGATATAACTAAAAACATTATTTTTCTAATATCTGTACAGACGTTATCGCTATATTAGACGAATATCTTAGTGGCGTAAGAACATTAATCCAAATTAATGATTAATTCCATTTATTTCATACAGTTAATCGAAAAGAAAACTTTTATTATAAAACGCAAGTGCAACGTAAGATATTGGAAAACTTCTGTTGGCGGAATTATTTACCGTGTTCGGATCTCTTCTCTCAGAATCATCGAGTTGCTAGAAGTTGTAGAACGTATTCTACACTTTCTCATATAGATGAAACTGGAAAAGCCAATATGGTTGATGTCGGAGGTAAAAATGAAAGCAACCGAGTAGCAATAGCCAAAGGAGAGATACATGTAGGACCGGTTATAAGTCAATTGATAGCAGAAAATAATGTGAAAAAGGGAGATGTGTTGTCTGTGGCACAATTAGCTGGTATTATGGCTGCTAAACGTACTTCAGAATTAATACCATTGTGTCATCCTTTAAATATATCATATGTAAATGTATACTTAAGGTTAAACGAAGAATTGCATCTAGTAGAAATTATAGCTGAGGTAAGATGTACTGGAAAAACTGGAGTAGAAATGGAAGCTTTGACAGCCGTATCCGTAGCCGGACTTACAATTTACGACATGTGTAAACACGCAGCTACTACACACGCGATGAAAATAACCAACATAGAATTAGTATTGAAAACGGGTGGTACAAAGAGTAATTATTTAAAAAATTAAATTGGTGCTGTACATTGTAGATAATGTCGATGTTGAATATTTTTTTAAGTACAAATTGTTATAAAACATTTTTATTCTTATATGTGGTAACAATGTAATATAATATATAAGAAAGTTAGGCCATTATTTTTTTATAAGAATGATTGTTAAGTAGAATTTTATACGATAATATTTATCAATGTTCAGTTATTATATACGGTTTTTTATTTTCTATAAATTTTTATCAGTATTTAGATGGGATAAAAGGAACAAAATGTTACAAATTTTTATGAATTGTATATATTTTTTAATAGACTTTATATAGCATTTATTGTTGATATATAAATAACTGGTTATTTTTTCCTGCATTAATGTTGAACAGCTTTAAAAAAGAAAAAAGAAGCAACAATTGTAAGATGATTTATTGAAATAAATTATCAGTAATAGAAAGGAAAGATGATGCGATACGACAGACTTTTGTATCTAAATCCAACTCGAGTACATATCCCATTCGACGTACGTATGTATCCCGAATTTCCGATATTATGTCGTCGTCGAAAACGTATCGATGCAGAATCGTAATAGGAAGATATAGCAAAGATGCATTTATGGTAAGTAGTATCGACAATCGGAAATGTGTCGAAGGAGGTAGATTTGGTGAACGACTTGCAAAATAAATATTCTTTTTTGTGGAAAAAAAAAAAAAAGAAAAAAAAAAGAAAAAGAAAAGACTTATCGTCATACGTGATAAGTTCTCATGAGCGCAATCGCAGATGCGGAAAGTACAGCGCGGGCGCGATGTACCTACAATTCGAGCTTTTAGTCCTCCACTAAGAGAAGTTACTCTTTAGTACTTCGGATGCTACCGGAGCGCATTGCCGGGAAGATCGTTCTTAAGTCGATTTTTCTTTTTTTAAACGACACTACGGAATATAAATCATTTCCTTGGTCGATATCATCTCGAACTAATTATTCTCACTATACGTTTTAACTCGTAATTTTTGTTCTTTTTTTTTTTCTTTTTCTTTTTTAATCGCACGTACGATCTTACATTCGATCAATGACACGGACTTTATAGGATCGAACTATCATTCCTCGATCGGTTTCAAAGTTCAGTTCTGGTCAACGAAACTTATATCGTCGCGGTGAAATGTGTAAAAAAAAGAAATATCTCCCGACGTCTGGCTTAAGTTCGAAGAGATTTTGTTTTGAGAAGAGAAACGGGGGAAGGCACGGATCGTGATCCATTAAAAAATTATTATCTATTTCGTGATAGGAGAGGGAGATTAATATTCATTTTAAATGTTGCAAAGGATAATAATTAAAAATGCCGTGCATTCCAGAAAGCTCGAAGATCTATGAGCAAAGATGAACGATAGTCGAGTATAAAAAATGGCACCATTCCACGGCATGGTCCTACTGTTGCTAGGAATCGGTTACCTGTTACACGCGGAACCATCTTTCGGTCATCGCGATATAGGTAGACCAAACGTTTTCCCCTTCAACTCTTTCTTTTTTCGTTCGTCGTAATATCGATGTCGACGATTAAGCAATCGACTCTGTTCATGTGTCGTGTGAAAAGTGACGTTGATTTTTAATACGGAACGTTTCTACCACATACAGGGATAATAGCGGATGACGTTAGATCGAGACGAAGAGAAGATCACGGATATTCACCTGTTTTGGAATATTTTTACGGCGAACGTATTGACAACGAGATGCGTAAGCATTATCGTACAAAAAGGCACACATATTTTTCCGATGATCTTCCACAAAACGTGACGGTCGCCGTCGGTCAATTCGCCGTGTTGTCGTGCCGAGTCGAAAATTTAGAAAACAGGACTGTGAGTCCTTCCTTTTAACTTATTTAACGATATGGGATATAAAGTAAAGAACGCAACGAATCTTTCAACGTGAAATTTCTTATCTCAGGTATCTTGGATGCGAAAGAAGGACGTTAGGATCCTAACGTCCATGGAGACGACTTATACCGCCGACAAGAGATTCGCGATAATCGGTAAATCGCCAAATTGGGATCTACGTATAGATTCCGTGCAACCCGAGGACGCTGGTATTTACGAGTGTCAAGTTAATACCGAGCCAAAGATGGACAGAGCGGTCAATTTGAAGGTCTTGGGTGAGCAACTTATTAGTTGAATGAAATATTATCAAATTGTCTACATCGGTATATATAAATTGATAACTATATAACGTTTCTCGTTGCGCAAGACGTACAAGCAAAAATCATTGGCTCCGAAGAGGTATACGTGAAGAAAGGAAGTAAAATCAGTTTGACCTGTACCGTCGACATGCAGGACGTACCACCGAGTAACGTGACTTGGTATCACGCGGGTTCGGTCATCGACTTTGATAGTCCAAGGTGCGTCAGACAAAGGAGATAGATTGTATCAAGAGGAAACGCTCGCTATTACAAAGTGACTATATCAAATTCTTACGGTCGATAGGGGTGGCGTTTCTTTGGAAACTGAAAAGGGCAAGAGCTTTACCAAAAGCATGCTGGTAATAACGCGCGCGTTACTCAACGACAGCGGCAATTACACGTGCTTCTCAAATAAGGCTGCTCCAGCTAGCGTGGTGGTTCACGTGTTGAACGGTGAGATGGATTTCTCTTTGAGTACAAAGAATTTCCTCTATTTTGGATTACGTAGATAAATGTTACGATATTCGTAGTTCTAAAGAGAGAGAGAGAGAGAGAGAGAGAGAGAGAGAGAGAGAGAGAGAGAGAGAGAGACGTATATCCGTATTTGAAACGTTCCTATGTTGTCGCTGATATTGGTAAGCGCTTAGCTTGAAATCTGTTCGCAGGAGAACATCCCGCGGCGATGCAGCATGGAGGCAGCGATAGTGTCAACAGAAGGATAGTCTTATTCCTCACGATCGTACTACCGATCGTTATATTTCGGTGAGCGATGCTTCCAGTGATCTTATATATCGAACGAACGAGACGTGTTCCTGTAATATATATATATAAATATATACATACATATATATATATATATATATATATATATATACATATACCTAAGAGGATGGTGCGCGGATGGAACTGTGATCGCGAACTTCGATGTGTACCTAATATGTAAAAAATTCACTTTTCTATCGATTTAGAAAATACCATGTAATCCACTCCACTGACCGCTGCCATATAGGAACACAGCTGACACACGCACGCACGCACGCACACACACACACACACACACACACACATACATCATCTTATCTCATATGATCTTCGTGTTGTTCATCGTCTCGAAACTCATCGCTGTAGATTAACGTCGATCTATATCATTGCATGTCGATCCTGGAATGTATCATTGCTACGGCCTAATAAATTTCTTTGAAATTATAATATTAAAATACATTTTGGAAAGTCGTCGAATCGAGAAGGAAAGTGCCATCACGTCACGTCTATTTCGCAGAGAGTTCAACGATTCTTACGAGTCTCTCGAAACTTGAATGAATTTGCAAGTTCATCTTATAGTTACCTAATTACAAGGGCCTTTCCTTCTGCCGATAATAGCATTATCATCGACGAATTGGGGTCACGTTTTCAATAATGAAAGGGGAAAGGACAGACTCGGGGGTCGGAATATGCGTTCGTTTTCTCCTACCCTCTCTCCTCATTCTCTCGATCTTCATCTCCTCCTCTCCCGCCACGCTCCCTCTTTCTGTCTCTTCCTGTGTCCACACACGTCCCACCAGTGCCGGTACGGATGTACCCAGTACTGGCCTCATTTTATGCAAATCACACAGAAGCATCTGTTAGATGCTCACCACGAAACGGAAACTCAGACACATCGGCTATGTAAATTCATGAGATTCTCCTTGTTCCTTGTGCAAGGAATCTCATCGAAGACTTTCTCCTCTATCAGTCAAATTTTGAGTACGCTACGCAAAGTATTTTTTTAATTTAACAGACTATATTTTGTATCCTTTATCATTATTCGATTTACTTTACTACGAATAACTTCGATCAAATATTATTTTACAAAGTTTCGTCAGATACCTTAAGCGTTATGAGATGATACTTATCAACGCTTACTGCAGTTTCCTCTTTAGTTAATGATATGTTGACCCTCCATTAATGGATTCTGTGCGATCTGCCTATAATTAGCGGAACACCAAAGACATGCGGTCACGTTGTGTTCTCTATGAGGGAGTTGACCGTATAAGCTAGATGATCGATAGTGTATCAACGTCATTGTACGACGCTTAAAAATATTCCCCATGGAAAAACGCTTAATACTTTGGCCTTTGGCTCTCAACGTGCTTTCGCCTAACCGTTGATGCATAATTCATATCTGCTCTTTCTGTACTCCGGTAATCATTAGACCGTGCAGTTTTAAGGAATGCAAAAACCGCCCACACTCTCCTGCACCTTCACCTTTATCATGGGGAACATTTTTATGCGAAAGTACAAAAAAGCAAAGCACTTGTTCGTTTTCTTTTTTCTGCGATCTCTTTACGTTCGTTATAAAAAGTTTTGACAAACGAAGAGAAAGAGAGAGAGAGAGAGAGAGAGAGAGAGAGAAAGAGGAGAACGCAGGATGGAATCACGCATGGAGTAAGGAAAATCCAATTGAATTATACAAGGAATGCACTATACACGCAAATGCCTCCTTTATCGAGGAGTTTCGCGCGTTTGGCGAAGCTTCACCCAGTAAAGGTTGAGAAGGACACGACAGGGAATAGATCCGTGGATGTAATAAAAGTGTGTACGTGAATGAAATGGCACGAGCCAAGTAGGTATGAGACATTTTCGACAATACTTTAAAATCATGGTTACCCTACATTTGCGCGAGCTCCGACAGTCCGGTATTTTTTCGCTTTCTTCTCGACTACACGTTTTCTTCTGCTTATTTTTACATGTAAACATGAACATAATACTCTAACCCAATAGCAAAAAATGCTCGATATTTTCTCTCGGAACTTTATATATCTTCGTATAATAAATCCGACAACGCAAAAAGGCTATAAACGTGAGAGAGAGAGAGAGAGAGAGAGAGAGAGAGAGAGAGAAAAAAAAGTATTTTTATTCTCGACGTTACGTGATTGCAATTCACTCTATTTCGCAGATAAATTAAACTATAACCTCGTCTATCCTTTCATTTTATCTGACCCTGTGAATTATCCTAAAGTACATGGAAAGCACGTACGTGACATTTCGCTGGCTTTAAAAATGTCAGACTCGTACGCTATAAATGTAATAATCGTGAAAATGGCCGAAAAATTACGTGCACAAGATAGGTGCAATTTTTTTCTTTTCGTCTTAACACTTTTCATTAGCCAAAGACAAGTCGAACTTCGATGCGTATAAAAGCGATTGTTAAAAACTTTTAATATTCTTTTAATATATCTGCTTTTCCTTAAAAGGGTCGATCGCGAAATGATTTTTTTATCAACTTCCTCGAGACGTACAACTATCCGCGTTCGGGATTAAGCAAAGAAAAGAAAGGAAAAGAAAGGAAAAGAAAGGAAAAAAGAAAATGGTTATCATCGTCGGTACAATTCAATCGAGTGCGAGAAAGACAAAACTTTTTGTAAAGTACTTTACGAATTTTCTAACCGTGGGAAAGAAAAGGAAGGGATCCGATGGTGGCTGGTTAGAGATGACTGTACCGAACGAGAGTTTTATCGAGTTAGTCGACGAGTTCGACGACACGTTCGCCCAACTTACTTATGGAAGTAGAAATAGAAATACCCGGGAAATCTTACGGATTGTTTATCGACTAGTCTCGAGATTTCTTTGCGCTCGTTGGACTCATTGAATTTCTCTAATGCGATAACGATTTTACTTTGCCAATATGAAAGACTTCTTTATATCTTTAAAATGAATTATAACGACCGATTAATTTTTATTTCCGTACGATTTTCTTTCGTAATATAAAGAATCTCATTTTCCAGGTAAAGTACTTTATAGAGATCCATGGTTGAAAAAAGTTTCTTCCGACGTCGTCGACTATGAGCTGCGAGTACAAACTCTCAGTCTTTTAGCGCGACTCTCTTTATCCTTACCGAAACAAACTTTTCAAAGCGACTACTTGTTATGACAAGGCGATTAAAAAGTCGAGAATTTGTGCTGTTGAATTCAAAGAGAATATTTCAAAATTGTAAACTAATGCTTTTTGATGAAGCAAATGAATTTGCTTATTTGAATAATTTTTAATTGAATAATTTCTAATTTGTATCAACGACGAAACGGTAACGAGTCGTTAAAAATCGTACGATTCAGAGCTAATTTTGCTTTCTTGCTCCCTTCAAGTCGTTCTTTTTTATTCCCATAAAAAACCGTTTTTAGACGTTTAGCAAATTCGTGTAGAATTTGACGATTAATATGGTCTCAATCGTCAACAAACGAAACATTCGATTATCAAGGCAATCCTTGGTCAACGTTGAGGAAGGATTGGGAATTTATCATGACGATTATAAATCAGTAATAATATTGTTAGCTTAGGTTATGTATATACGGTTTTTATAATAGATATTGAAATATGTTACATTTTTAACGTATAAAATGTAAATATTTACGTGTACTTAAACATAGAATGTTTCGTAACAAGAGATCTTTGTCGAAAGCTTATAAAAGCTTATAAAAGCTTATGAAATTAAAGAGGAACGCACGTTAAAAGAGATAGGCATCTTGTAAAGATACATCGGCACCGCTTGCGAGTTTCGACTATTTTCTCTCTCTCTCTCTCTCTCTCTCTCTCTCTCTCTCGCTAAAATGCCGATAATAACATTCGATTCTTCTTCGTCGATCAATGATTTAATACCTGACTAAAATGCTCTCTTGTACGACGTCTACAGGACAAGAAGAAAACTTTGTCAAGATTGTCGATCGTGCCCACTACAAGCCGTTTCTTATTTCATTTGCGAGGGAATCAATTAAAGGTGAGTATCGAAGAAGGTCACCGAGAACGAGAATGAAATAACAAGATGGGAAGCAATCGAAATGTTTCTTGTTTTGTATACAAACAGATACCAAAATATCAAAACACGTATCGCCTGGAACCCTTCAGATCTTTTTGCGTCGAGACGGTCGACAATATCGTTTCTACCGTAATGGAAAATAAATTATCACTCTTCTCGTTCTATCAGTCGGATAATGCCTCCAAGTTATCTATGGAGATTTCCAACGATGTCTTCAAAGCGATCAACAAGAGAGATTACGATAGGTATAAAATACGAATAAATATGAATAGAGGAGCCGAAAAGACTCTAAAGAAGACGAAAAGACGTCGTTAGTTCTTAGTTTACGTATACTTATATATACATTTCGTTTCTCCATTCTCTCTTCGCAGATATAAAATAGTGGTACAAGTGACTATCATACAACGTATGGGGCAAAGCGTACATTCTGCCTTTCAGTGCCTCTGGGATGTGGAACGTGACAATTACTCGTACTACGTTTTCGAAAATTCTCACATATACGCGTGGTGCTGCGTGTTCGGTCTTTACTACGAATGAAAACGAAATTCCCTGTCTCTCTCTCTCTCTCTCTCTGTGTGTGTGTGTGCGTGTGTGTGTTTGTCTGTGTCTGTTCCTCTATTCCTCTCTGCGTATTTCTCCAGCTTCAACCTTAGTGACGACCCGTAGAGACCGTCTGGTGTTACCGAGCAACGTAGAGCAGGTGTCCTTTTATCCTCTTCTCCGTACGAGCGCGATCCTAATACACATATTTTCCTGTTATTACGCGAACAAGATCGACAAGAGACGCTACGTACTTTCGCTCTTGAAATTCGTGTTCGTAAAATCGTTGAGGTCCGAACGTTTAAAAGTTACTCTCGAAAACTATTTCGTACATTGCTCTCTTTACTTTGCGATATTTCATATGACATTATTCCTTTATGTTTGAAATACAATGAACCCCCCGTTGAAGTCCCGATCGATTATACCTATGAAGTAACTATCTAATATTAATATTTATTAGTTTCGTAACTTTCCGTACTAGCTCCAAACGCCGTTGGCGACGTGACCGAGCCATATACCTTCCTTTCGGACTCTTCGACGAATGATTTATCGAAAAACTTTTAACTTTGGCTCGTCTTCTCCTCGTCGGAATAATAGTCGACGATTTAAAGTTTTGGAAACACGCCCGATATTTTTATAGATATTCATCGGAGTTATCGGGACACGACATGCTAGACCGAAGAATAATGGAAACGTGGCTGCTATGAGGTAGACGAGAAACGAGCTGATCTTTATTACGTTGAAAATGATAACGATTCGATGAAAGCTATTGAAAAAAAAAAAAAAAAAAAAGGCGAAGAAAAACCAAGAAAAAAAAGAGACCTCTTTTTCTTTCCTTTACTTTCCTCGCACGTACGTTTATCCAAGAATCTTGGAATATTATTTCGAGTTAGCTAAGACTTTTAACTTTCTTCGACAAAAAGTGACTAGAAGAGATGATACGAGATGAAAAGAATATGAGACCGGGCAACGAGAAAATTATACTTCATCGAACGAATAATATTTTTTTGTTTTTTCTTTTCTTTTTTTTTTCTTTTTTTTTTTCTTTTTTTTTTTTGGCACGGATGAGGATTACTTAAAACGACTCTCGTAGATGAGTAAGAATACGAAAAAGAACGGTACGAAATCTCAAAACAATACCGATAACTGCTCTAAAAGTACAAGTTTCTTCTTTTAGCATAGTTACATCGATAGTTTCTCGGAATAAAGTAAAATTATTTATCGATAAAATATAGCGATTTATAAGCCGGATATTCGAGTGGAAAAATGTTTTGAAATAACAATCGCCGTCAATAAGAAACGGAAATCAGATGTCGAGTCAAACGCACGAAATATATAATCTCGATAGAACGTGCGGCCGACTATATATACGCAATCGTTTTGATGGACGATGCATCAAAACTGGTCGAACTGAATTTTAATCTATCTCCGTACGACTCGACGTTATTTCGCGAACGTTTCATGTTCTCTCTGTCTCTCTCTCTCTTTCTCTCTTTTTTATAACGTAAAAATAAAATCAATGGAAAAAAATAGATAGGAAGTGCAAGTTGTAAAAGTAGGAAACAACAATCAAATCGTGTGTCATTTCGTAAAGAGCAGAGAAAGAGAGAGAGAGAGAGAGAGAGAGAGAGAGAGCAACCAATGTTGGACGCATTTCGATCGCGTTGATAAAAGCAAAGCTTGAGAGTCCGCTTGAACGGTCAGATGAATTAACGGAGATTGTGCCGGCGATAATATCAGCACTATCATTGATTCTACACGGGGTCATAGATTTTTCGATAATACGATTACAAGAAATATAAGCCGCGCCTTAATGACTCGGCTGAAAATTAGGGGAAAATGCGTGGCGGCTCGCACGTAAAATTAATGGTGCAATTTCGACGTCGTACCATGCGGTGACAATATGGGCAAAAGCCATCCTACTATCTGCCATGTTCTTCGTGATGCCCGCCAGGAAATCGCAGGGTACGCCGCCAACCCAAATATTTACGGGCTCGATCGTTGAGTTGTTCATAGAGAAAGTTCCTCCTTTGCTTACGATTCTACGCTCGAACTTTCTTCAAAGCTTCGAAAACGGCTGGGAAACAATGATTTACTCTCTCTCTCTCTCTCTCTCTCTCTCTCTCTCTCTCTCTCTCTCTCTCCCTCCCGTCTTTCTCTTCCCCAACTGATTCTCCCATCACTGTACGTTCTTACCAATTACCGTACGTTATCTGTACGAGTTTCCCGAAACGGTAATACGTTTACCGTCGACGTTGTAGGTTAAGTATCGTTGATTAAATTCCTTGCTATTCTACGTGAGTTCTCAGAAAGACAAAGCTCAACTAACGAAAATACTTATATGTATTTTGAATGACTTATTAAAAATCACGAGCCAGTTTTCAGTTAATCTTTATCACGTATCACTATTTGTACCGTCAAAGTTTTATCGCATCACTTTCAATATTTCTGATTTGACAAGAGGAAATCCGTAATATGTACTTGAACGATTTTTATCTATTCGATATTTCATCGTTATTTTGGTGAAGACTCAGTTTTTTCTAGTTAAAAGGATATTACCCATTTGAAAGACAAAGTAATAAGCCGTACGTTGTCATAGATTTGGACAATCCATAATTACATTTTATTGTTAGATCTGCGTTACGTTAATAACAACAGATAGTTTTACGATGTAAAGTAATATCCGTAAACGATAGACGTATGTAATTTATTATATTATTACGGATAAAATCTATCGTACGATTGAATTTATTAACGCCCTTTTAATCTCTATAGATTGCGAGTGCAAGCGATCCGATAAGAGAATAAGAAATGAAACATAGATTGGCCGCATTTCGTAGAATTCTCGAATCGGTTCCAGCCGCGACCCAAAATCGATTGAGAACGCATATCGAAGAACATCCTCTTCGTCTTCTTCGTAAGAAAGCGTCACCGACGTCAGGTAACGGCACAATCTATCACCGGCTAAGTTTCCGTTACTGGATTCGACGTAAAATCAATGCCGATCCTCATTTCCATGTAAATTATCTCTGATACCGCAGCATTGAAAATGGAATACGGCCGTGCACAGCTTTACGGAAATTTTTCGATGCAGACACCGAAAAAGCTTTTTTTCTTTTTTTTTTTTTTTTTTTTTCTATTCTTTTTCCCGTTTTTCCTTTTTCCTCCGTATAATCGGTACACGAGCGTGAACTAGGGCGTGAACTAGGGCCTAGAGATCGTAATTAAATTTTATTCGTTAAAAGATCTTTCGAAAAATATTGTCGGCTTATCGTAAATAAATATTACAACGTAAATAGATATTTCTTTTTATAGCTGGCTAGAAGAAGAAAACTGTGAAAATGGCTAAAACTGGCCATACCTAGGATTACTAGGGGTTGATACGAAACTCGTACGTATATATTAGGAAACACGCGATCGAGGAGAAGGCGTGTTCTCTTCCGTCGGCGATGAGCTCGTCTACGCGAGAACAAATAGTTTTAGTTTGCGATGCGAAACTATCAAGGGAATATACGCAAGAAAAGGGGGATGAGAATGGTTTCAGTTGTCGAGAATAAGACGGGCTTCCGGAATGAACGGCACGTCCCTCGGCGATCACTCATGCTTATGACGGTCTGCCTTGTCGCGGTATTCCCGTGTATTCCGATTTCGCGCGTACAGACAACGTGATTCGTCTTTGTCAGATTGGGAACTTTAAAGCCACCACCTTTTTTCACTCAGATTTATGCATTTCCCTGGCTCGACCGTTTTACTCGCAAATTCGCGTTCCTTTTCGCGAAAAAAACTGCATTCCGTACAATCTGCACCGAGTTCCTATGACTTTGTCCTAGTTTTTATTCGCGCGAAAAAAAAAGATTCCTTATGTTAAGAATTCTCTAATATCTTACGTTGGAATACTAAAAATTGTAGTGTAACGTTCACACTAGATTACACTGAGTTAAAGGCTAGGCCAAAGAGTCGAAACTCCTTTTTTATATATTTCATAATCTAAGAGAAAACTATTCAGCGATGGCGGTGGCGACGATGATATCGACAAAGTTCGAGAGAGGAATAACGTTTTAATTTATGGATCACACCGATATCGTATCGGTAGAAAGCTCTCAGAAAGCTCGACGAAGCGAGAAGCGAATGAGGATCGAAAGGCTGCAGAACGAGGATCGATATCTTTTAACGGTGCTCTATTTGTAAGCGAGCTTGTAAATAAAGCACGATCAGTGGAGGATGGATCCAAGCCGATGCGTGTCGTACCGATGGTTCTCTCTCTCTCTCTATATATATATATATATATCTTCCTCTTTCTCCTCTCTCCTCTTTCAGCCTCCTCTTCCGCTGGCAAACACACTCGAAGCTCTCTGTAAAGCAGGTAGCACTTGAAACTCCAATCGCGTAACCAGCCATGGTTCGCGAAAGTCTGTACCGCGCGCGAGCCTATATTAGATTATTATCCATTAACTCGTATTACCGCGGCCAGCATCACGATTAAATTTTCTCGATAGCGTAGTCGGGAGCGTTTCTGAAACGCGCCAGCAGACAGACCGAGAGCGCAGCGTCCTTTCAGCGAACGGCAAACAGGAGTAGCAAGCTTGCTTTTCAAGGGTCGCGGCTTTCTCGCGCACCCGCTACCATCATCATCATCATCATCATCATCGTCATCATCGTCATCATCATCGTCGATATGTATTTCCGGTAGCCGCTAAATGGCGAGTTCGTAACTTCGATGATAGAAGTTTTCTCTACGATAAATTTCCAACTGCGACTTCTTCAATTTCTATCCATATATTCCAACTAATTTGGCCGTTTTCATCGAGTAAAACCTTCATACTCTCGCACTAGTTAGCGCAAACATTTTCGAAAGAAGCTTACGAAAAGGGATTTGCATACGTGTTTACTGGAAATTCTAGAAGACGTGCTAACAATGTAATACGAAATATGCTTTCCAGGTATGCTCAACGAAACGAATTTTTCATTGATCGTTACGCTTGGAACTCATTGTTCCACGTTCCATTCGAGATTAGATAAATACATATCGAGATGAGGAAACTCGATACTTCTCTTGTTTGGACCAACGAAACTGAGGATATATTTTAATGAAGCGAACTCGCGAACTTGACAACGGAAAGACGGTACAAGGAATTATGCATTCCGCCCTTTTCTCCCTCTCCATTTTCTAACTCCGTAAGCGTCGGGAAGCGAAAGCAGATTGTTTCGTGAGATTGAATCCGCGCGGAAGGGAATGTGGTTTCCTGAGGAAACCGAGCTCGCGTGCCATGTCCGATAACGATAAGTCGGAGGAGGCTCGGCTTAAGGGAAAATAAAGACAAATGGCGGCATTTCGTGAGGGACAAATTGAAAAGCGAAGAGAGGTGGGAGTTACGGCACGTACTACACACGTCCGGTTAACCGAGGAGTACGGCCGAGTCCTTCGTCCTTAACTCGTCTTCCGCCCTTTTCTACGAGCTGTCCGATTTCGTTCCCTAGTCTCGAAGTCGCTACAAAGCTTCCGCCATTTTTTCCAATTAACCTCGGGATATCTCCTACTCTCCTTGACGAGTGCTATAATTGCCTGCGATGGAAAATGCTTCAGCTCAAACTGTCACGCCACAAAGTGTTGAAATTAATTATCGTATCGCACTGCTACGACTACACTCGTCTCTATGAATATTTCGTCGTCATTAATTAGATACGGCTCTTACGGAACGTCGATGTCGTGTTAATAATTTACCATCTGTTCGACGTCACTATCGAGCTTAATCTACCGTCTTTTTCTATTCCTCTACCCCCCGGCCCCACCC